GGGGGGAGCTGCGAGTCGACGGCCTAGTCGATGCGACCGGCCTCTCAAGGTCAAGAGTCAGATTCTTGGACTTGGCGGAACTGATGGGCTGGGACATCGGCCCACACTTCCCTCCCCCTGGTTTTGGGGGGTCCAGAGCAGGTTCAGGCAACGGACAGTGCTGATGGTGACCGAGAATGTCCTGCTTATGAGCCCAGTGGTGAGGGGAGGTTTGGAGAGACTGAGTCCCCTGCTGCCACCATCAACAATATGCAGGTCAAGAGTACCTATTGTGTTCCCACTACGTACCAGGCACTGTGATGGGATGAGCAGGACTGACCACAGACACGCTTACTTCACCCTCCCCCTCCCACCCTCTCCCAAGTAAGAAATCCCAGAGCTGACCTGCAAGGTGGAAGGAGATGCCCAGAATCCAGGAAAGGGTCTTTCCTAAGGGAGAAGTTACAGGGTCCGGCTCCTCCCCCAGGTGGAGGGAACTGGGAGCAGGCCAAGTTCAGTTGTCCAGACACAGCTTCTTGGTGCCAGATCAGGAGCTTTTAGGGAAAGAGTGGGTGCTGGAAAGCCAGATCTACTCCAAAAACTCCTGGCCAACGCCAGGCGTGGTGGCTCACACCTATAATCCCAGCACTTTGGGAGGCTGAGATGAGCGGATTGCCTGAGGGTTCAAGACCAACCTGGGCAACTTGTTGAGCCCTCATCTCTAAAAAAAAATAAAAATGAAAAACTCCTGGTCAGAACTGGTCCCTACAACTTAATCTCCAGAATGCATTTTCTTTTCCTCTTGAGGTTCTGTCTTCTGACCTGGGGCAGAAAGAATGGGAGAGAAGGAGGCGGTGTCCAAGCCTGCTGACCAAGACCACTTTCCAGGGTTATTTTCCTTGATGACCAGCTCTGGACGGAGATCCTCTTGTCTGTTCCCCCTTTCAGCCTCTAGGGTGGGTTTCCTGACTAGACCAGCCAGTTTGCTCACATGACAGACTTGAGGAGGAATGTGCATCATGTGAGTGTGAGAGAGAGAGAAGAGGGCACAGCCATCCTGGTGCTCAGTAGGGGGACCTGGACTGGTCATTTCCAGCACTCATGGAGGTGGCTTGGATCTGACTCTCTACCTTGATTGGTGGGAGTGGGCCAGAGTGTCCAGAGGCTCCTGACCAAGATTCACCCTGGGCCTGCCATATGTACCTAGCTCCCTGTTAGCATGTAGATGGGAGAATTCATGTGCAGATTTGGGGCCACCCAACGTGGACTGCTCCTGCTGAGCCCCTGGCCACAGTAGTTTAGGCAGATTGAAGAGAGTGCAATTCCCACTCTCTTGTCTATGGGCTGAAGCCATAGTCCTGGATGACCTCAGAGGGGTCATGCATAATTCTTTGAGAGAAGCTTCTGGGTGGAACCCGGGGAAGGTGCCAGAGTATGTGTGTGCAGAGTGTGTAGTGAGAGAGGGAGTGCTTCCGTGGGTGCAGAACATTTTTTTTTTTTGGGTTGGGGGTCTCACTCTGTCATTCAGGCTTGAGTGTAGTGGCGTGATCATGGCTTACGGGAGTCTCAAATTCCTGGGCTCAAGTGATCCTCCTGTCTCAGGCTCCCGAGTAGCCTGAGCAGGTGGGCACCACCATACCCTAATATTTTAATATTGCCTGGGCTGGTCTTGAATTCTTGGGCTCAAGCAGTCCTCTTGCCTTGGCCTCCCAAAGTACTGGGATTACAGGTGTGAGCCACCACACTCGGCCAGAACCATCTTTTAGAGAGCTTCCCCTTCTTTATTGCACAGGGAGAGGGTTGCTGCTAGAGGGGAGGGGTAGGCAGATTTAGTGGGTTGCTCTGGCCTGGAGCACCTCCCCCTTTTCACCACCAGTCAAGCTTTATCATGCTGGTGCAGGTGTACTAGAGCTTTGCCATTCACCTGGCTCCTTCATGGTACCATGAGGTGTATGTGACTGATTCTGGAACAGAGAGGGTAGGTGAGAAGGAGGTTGCCATCTCCTAAGTGAGCTTTGGGGTTACTTTAAAATATGAGAACTGGGGGAATTGCTTGCAGTCTGGGTCCCCAGGGCACCTGTCCTTGGGACTTGGGGCCCTGTCTGTCCCTCTGCCTGTGGATATTGAGCACTTGCCCCAAAGCCAATGAAAATCTAGGTCCTGGGTTAGTCAAAGGAATAGAGGTGGGGGCAGTGTTGGGCCCTGAGTTTGAGAGCCCTGTCTTGTGAGGGAGCAGACTGGGAATGTCCCAGGCTGAGCCTGAGAAGGGCTCGGTAGCTGGAACTCGGCAGGCTGCTTTGGTTTGTGGGAAGCTGGAGCGCAAAGAGCTGGTTGTATCTGGGACTGTAACATAAGCCTGGGAGAGCAAGACCTCCGCCCCCTTAGGAGCAGGCCTGCACCCACCTGGCAGCTCCCCTTCCTGAAGGGCAGGGGAGATACAGAAGAGGCCCACTGACCGGCCCAGCTCCTGAACTCTGGCGCTGGGCAACCCAGAGTGCCTCTCCATGAACACTTCCCCATCTACTTCCTCTTTCTATTCTTCCCCTCTGTGGGAGGGAGGACCTCGGAACAGGCCTGGTTCTCACTCAAGTTGTTGATTGGCCAGAGGGTGTGGGGCCTTGGGTCTTCTGGGGCCTCTGAGCCAGTAAGATTTGTGGGAGGTTGATGCCCTCCTGGGGGGGGAGAGGGGACTTAGCCAACCTCTGTCCCCCCCAGCCCCACCCCATGCGGGTGTTTGGGGCGTGTCCACCGCCAGTGCTGTCAGCTCTGTTAGTCAGCAGTGGTGAATCCAGTGCTAGAGGAGGGCTGGTTGTCTAGCTCCCTGGCCTGGGAGCTGTAGACTCAGAGCTTGGCCCAGCCCTGTAGCCAGGGAACCAGAATGGTGGGGCCTGGGAGGGGACAGGCAGGGTGGAAAGGAAGAGAGGCCTCTGGATGAGGAGGGGCTCTTCCCTTCCCTTGTTCTCAGCTAGCTCCCGAGGAGCCCTCACCATCCTGCTGAGCTTTCAGCAGAGATGCTGAACTGAGGGGGTGCAAAGTTGCCAGAGTCCGCTGTTCTGCTCAACCCCTATTTAAGAACCCAGCTTGCCTTTCTGCCTGCCTCTTACCTTTCTAGTTTTGCTGCAGCTGCTGGTGGTGGGGACCGGGAGGGATTTGTGAGAAATGAGTTCTAGCACAAGAAGCACAGAGAGGAGCCAAGCATATTTATTAAATGGTTCCTGGGAAAAACAGCCTTTGGTGTCTAGCCTGGGAGTCAGGAGTCCTGGGCCATTTCTTTATGTGTGAAATGGAGGTGATGTCCCTGTTCTGCTTGGGATGCGGGCTTTCGTGAGTACCCAAGGAGGTATGAATGCATGTGAGACAATACCTAGTGAGCATATGTTGGCACAGCAGGTACAGGGCATCGGCCCAGGTGTCAGGAGACTTGCGGTGTGACCCTCAACAAATTACTTAGCCTCGCTGAGGTTCATTTATCACATCTGTGAAGGTACTGCTTCCTCTCTAGAACGTGCTTGGTAAATATTGCTGAAGGCTTTCCACAGAAGCTATGGTCTATCCGTGCCCCGCTCCATTCTCCTGTGGCGGCCTGTGAAGACTTTTGTAGCCTGGCCTCTGCTCACCTCTTTGACCTCCCTTGGCCCTTTTGCTCCTGACCCTTCCTGCTCATCACCTGCCTTCAGGCTGCAAGGCCTGCAGCCGCCTCTGACAGCTCCCGCTCTGCCTTCCACAGCCCCTGTCCTCCCCCGGCCTGGATGGTTCTTCCCTGTTCCTTGTCCGCCTGTCCCCCCACTCCAGGCTGTGAGCTCCCCAGTAGCAGGAACCAGCCCTGCTGTATTTGTTCACTGCTCTGCTGCCAGCACTTACCCCAGTGCCTGCTGGATGTACTTGGATATGTGTCGTGTGTCAGATTAGGCAGGGGTGTCATGGGCACTGATGGGATAGGGTCAGGATGGTTAGGGTTGGAGCATAGGTAAAACTGGGGGCTAGGGCCACCGGCCTGCTAAGACACCCCTTGTGTTCTCTCTGTGTAGAGGAGCAGGAGCGGCTTCGCTTGGAGCGGGAGCGGGAGCAGGAGCAGAAGAAGGCCAATAGCCTGGCCAGGCTGGCACATGCCCTGCCGGTGGAAGAACCCCGCATCGAGGCGCTACCCCTGCCTCTGTCCCCACCGGCACCCCCGCCGGCACCCCCACCACCACTTGCCACCCCTGCCCCACTGACTGTCATTCCTATTCCTGTAGTGACCAACTCCCCTCAGCCACTGCCCCCACCCCCACCACTGCCCCCCGCAGCCCAGCCTTTGCCCTTGGCACCTCGTCAGCCAGCCCTGGTTAGCACCCCTGGACTCAGCATTAAGGAGCCTACACCCCTGCCCACCAGGCCGCAGATGCCCACCCCTGCTCCCCTACTGCCGGACTCGAAGGCCACCATCCCACCCACTGGCAGCCCCAAGCCTTTGCAGCCCCTCCCCACGCCCATCCTGACTATAGCGCCACATCCTGGAGTCCAGCCTCAGCTGGCCCCCCAGCAGCCACCCCCGCCCACGCTTGGGACCCTGAAGTTGGCACCTGCTGAAGAAGTCAAATCCAGCGAACAGAAGAAGAGGCCTGGGGGGTGAGTGAGATGTGGCTGATTGGGGCTGGTGGGATGGAGAGGAGAACTGTCTACCCCCTGGGCTGTGTGTGCAACAGAAGGTCCCAGGATAGCTCTTCAGAGGCATGTCCTGACTCCCCAGCGTGGAAGCACCTTCTATATTGGGACACATTCTTCCTGTGTCCGTCTCTACCCTGGAAATGATTGGCCATCCCCCTTTCTTGTTCTCCGGCTTCTGTGGTCTTTAACTCCCTCCAAGGCAGAGGCTTATGACATTTCCAGGCCTCTACACTGAGTATTGGATCATGGGCCTCCTGGGTGAGGGCTGGCAACTTCTCAGTCCCAGGAGCCCTTCTGTCTCCCTCATGGTAGGATGGAGGGTTACAGGGGTTGTGGATTATGACCATAGATGTGAGGGTGGACCAGCACGGCACAGGGTGAACACCTCCCGTTGCTGCTTTTACAGAGAGAGAATGTTGGGGACAAATGGCCTGTGGCAATTTGGGGGGTGGCGGCTGGGGTCAGGAAGGCCGCCTAATCGGACACTCCTCCCTGAGCCTCCTGTCTGTCTGGGTTTCAGGATCGGAACCAGAGAAGTCCACAACAAATTGGAGAAGAACAGGTGTGTGTGCGTGCGTGCGTGTGTGACTTGGGCCCGCCCTGCCTGCTCCTGGGACTCGCCCCCCCCTCGGCCCCTCAAACTCCCTTTGGGCCGTCCCTCTCCGCCCCAGCCCCTGCCCCTCCGGCGCTGGCTGACCGGCGCACGCTCCCTCTCCCCAGGAGGGCCCATCTGAAGGAATGCTTTGAGACCCTGAAGCGTAACATCCCCAACGTGGATGACAAGAAGACGTCGAATCTGAGCGTGCTGCGGACGGCGCTGCGGTACATCCAGGTATGGGGGAGGGAAGTAGGGGCAGGCGGCGGCGCCAGCTTCCTCCCCACCTCGCCGCCCTCCTTTCCTCGCCGCGTCCCCGCCCCGCCCTCTCGCTCTCG